AAGAGGAGGCTAATGAGCCCACAAGCAAGCAAGGCAGAAATGCTTAAGAGATCAGACACACCTGGGGCAGGTCTGAAATACAATCAACCTCTGTGATAGGGGATGGACAGGGGACTGCGTCAAGAAGTCTTCAGGTAAAAATAATTAACCAAATGAGTATCTGGCAAGACATAAAATGTTCAGAGTTGATGGAGAAGATTTAAGGACTTCTTAGAAAGTCAGTGAAATGCATAGATTTCATGTACATAGTTTAACATGGTCAATAAATTATAATTTTAATTTACAGGCTCAGCAGCAAAGCTCATGTAGTTAAAATAACAAAAACAAGAACTGCATATTTGTGTGTTTTTTAAGGAGAGCAAATTATTGGGAGTTCAGTAAGTGGAACTCTGAATTATAGCCATCATCTTATAGACAGCTATAATTTTATGTATTAAAACATGCAGTGTATGTGCTTTTTTTTGTTCAAGATTCTTTCCAGCAGATGACAAAAAGGTAATGAAAATGGTTGTGGTTGCCAGGTGACCAGTCTCAAGGTGGGTTGGGGGAAGGGGCAGCTACATTTTCATGTATGTTTATTAACATTTCAATTTTAAAATATAAGCAGCAATTACTTTGCTAAGATCAATGTGAAGATAATAGCCATAAATCAATAAAAAGAAAATTCAGTAAATAATGTCAGGCTTGAATAAAGTAAGTTCTGACATTAAACGCTCCAACTTTCAGTGGCAAGCAGGCTTATATAAACTAAGTACTTTCCAGGCTGCTAGAACTCACCCACACTTAATCTGCCTTAAAAGAGAAAGAGCAGAAGATGTGAAAGATATGGATCTCCTAAACTCTTTTCTGACATAGCATGCTGGAGATTTTCACACCATCTGGAGCCTCATATTCCTCTAGCAGAGCACTGACACGTTAGAAAAGGGGCCAGCATCTCAAGAGGTGTGGATAATACTCCTTTAGAGGAATGGGGAGCTGGGGTGCTTTGCATAGAGGAGACATTTGAGATGTCATCTCAAAGAATTTCCAATGTGCCAGGTGTCAGAACTAGGAAAGGTGGTTGAAGAGTTCAAGAAAATTGATCAAAATAATCATGATAGAACTGTTACAGAACAACCCCAATGTGAAATGGGGTGGCCTGACCGTGGGCCCTCACTGTGCACTAAAAAGGGACTTATAATCAGACTCAACTGCAGGCACACAAAAAGGTTAATAAGAGGTTTATTTACAAAAAGGAAAAATGAAAAAGGAATAACTTGGGGAGAAAGAGAAAGATAAATTGATGAATGAGTCCTACCAGTTCCTTTGAGCTGGGACCCCAACAACATGCTGAAAACTGGCACAAAACCAAAGATCCCTCCACCCCCCAGTCCCACATAGTTGGTTATATACCAAATCTGGCTGCTAATTCTACCCTCAGTTCCCAGCATCCTCCTGCTAATTCTACCCTCAATTCCCAGCATCCTCCCTTCACTGGTGATGCATTATGGGATTTGTAGTCCTTGGTGCTTTGACTCTTCTTGGTCTTGGGTGGGGTGGAGGCATAAAACCTGTGTCTGTGGAGTTTATAAAGGAATCATCTCCCTTTGACAGAACTGCCAAACAGAAGTGCACTGTTCTATGGAAAACTGCTGCTGAGGACTTTATCAATATTTACCTCCAAAATGGGCTAGAAGTTTAACTCCTTCTCACACTAATTTTCCAAAAGAAAAAGACCACTGGGCTGTTCACAAATTTAATGCCTTGCACACTTAGGAAGTATCTGTGTCCTTATCACTCATGCAATTTGCTAGAGCACCTTCAAATTATCTCATATGTGACCTCTCCCATTTGTTTCACCACTCCTGGTCCACCAATGGGGCTCACTCACCAAACAGATACCCGTATAGGTCCCCCTGTATCTGTTTAGGGGTGAAGTCTATTCTCAATACAACAGCCACTGTCCTCTCAAAAACACAAACCAATAACCACACTCAGCTTCACCTGCAAGATGAAAAGGGTCAGAGGCTATAATTAAAGTTGTCAGCAAAATCTGAAGTTTCCTCCACCTCTAAGCTCAGCCTCATTAAAATGCAGATGGCAAATACAGGGTAGAGGGATGGCTTCAAGACCTCCTCTGGTTTCATTACATTGCTCTGCCCTGCTTGAAGGTCCTTTCTAAGTACCAGACAGCCAGCCCCATGGCACCTTTTCTTAGAGGAGCAAGGCAGGAAAGGTCACTTGAAAACACACCTTGTCCAGGTGACCCCTGTGCTCAAATAGCTTCTGTTTAGTTCCACTTCCAAATATGGTTTTTCACCTAATTTTTCCCATAACTAAAAGCAAACAATAACTTGACCTTAATCCGCACTTAGCCCCTCTCCCTAGCAAGCAGAGAACTGGCTTAGCATCAGAGCAGAAGAGCACATAAATTTGGTTGTCCCGCCTGTTTGCTCTTTCAACATCAAAGAAAGCTCCGAGACAGCCCAGACCACAGGAACTCTGAACTTACCCGCTCTAATAGGTTTTGCTATTCACTATATTGAGATATATATACCTTTAATGGAAATGAACTGTAATACATTTAGTGTGCAACAAAGGAAACACAAAGAACTTAGTCTCCAAATCAAGAGCCTGAAATCACCCATCCTTTCATGGGTAAATGCCCAGCTAAACAGAGTTGGCTCAAAGCAGGGCTGCTGAGGCCAGAAAGCCTGCCACAATTCTCAGGCGCCTCCTCCTGGTGACCCATAGAAAAAGAGTAGAAGGATCCAGATAGGCCTGGAAGGAAGAGAACAAAATCAAGTTGAACTCTGCCATCGTTAACCTTGCCACAAGACTCTCAACCACGTCTGTCTCAAGTGTCTCCTTCCTTGTTCCCCTGTACAAGTCCAAAGCTGAGAAGCAAACACAGCTTCTTCACATGTTTCTTTGTTCCATTTGGTTCCTCCAAACCTCCTCTGGCTTCCCACCCTGCTTCCTTCCTTTTCCAGTCTCCTTTCCAGCATCTCTTCTACCCTGCCCAGCTCTAGGGAACCCAGAACCTCCCCTTCCCCTGGGGACCATGCTGTTACAAATGCATAAGCCTTTCAATTGGTTAGAAAATGAGTCTGTGTCTGTGCTAAGAAGTCAAAATCCAAGCGGGTGGATAGCAATAGAAAGGCTTTGATTTGCTGCAACTGTTTCTTATCACCCTGCACTGCTGATGTCCCGCTGGATACCATTCCTGGCCTCTCTCATCAGGCTTCAAAGAGAGGGATGTGTTTTCATTCAAACTGTGATGAAAATAGACATCCTAAACTAATGTTACAAAGGTGGGGGGGCATTACTATAAATGATTACTACTATGATGGTTCACTTTGATGGACCAATACATCCATTCCAGTTCCCCACACTACAGAGATGATCTTTGCAGTCAGCAAATATATGGCATATCCTAAACTTCTTTTACCCTCTGAATCTTTATGGGTATTTTCTGATTCCATCATGGCACAGCTTCATTCACTTACTTATTTTACACTTTCAATTTCCTGAGATCGGTGTGTTTTAGCACATGTATAACATTAGTTAAGTTTGGATACTGAGGCTTAATCTAATTTTAGATTTTCTGCATTTATGTAGATGCCATGACACAAATCCCTTTAGCATGGAGATATCAAAAGCCATCATGAAACATGAACCATCCTTTCTGTGTGTGTGATTAATTGCTTCATTTGATTGGTTGGTTGTTTTTATTTTTCAGTTTCTCTGATATTTATAAGAAGGTATCAATAGCTTATCAATAATAAGTTCACCAGATGAAGTTTTCAATGATGGAACTTCCAAAATGGGATGTGGTGGGTGGTAGCAGAGCTGTGTGCCAGAAAGCTGATCCCTGGGTAAGCTAATCAATGGAAACCCAAGTGGGAAGAAATGATAAGACTTTATCAACCTGTGTCCTGCCATTTTCCCCAAAAGGATCAAATGTGTATTCCCATGATGCTATTGGACTGCATATAAATTTCTATAAGATCTAGCAAGAAAAATTGACCTCTGTTTTCCAAGTTGCCATTCTTAGTCAGGAATACTAAGCAAATTGCAACTGAGGGATAGAAAGCTTTTAAAAAGCCTAGGGGTCCGGTGTTCTCTCTCAAGAGGCTACTAGTTCTGGAACCTGATATGGACTGAACCGTGGAAATGGATTAAATGACTCTCACTTTGAAAGTGAGGTAAGCAAGTCCCTCCCTGGTGATGCAGCTGGTTAAAGCACAGCACTGCAAGCTAGAAGCAGCTGCCTAAGTATGAGTTCTGTCCTCAGCCAGGGAGCTGACCCATATGGCACAGCAGACCTCTCCTGACCTGCCCACTGCTCCCCTCAACAGTGTACTTTGTTAGTCGGCCCGTTCTGCTCCCCACTCTGTCTCTGGTGAATCCTCTCACTGCCCCTGCACCTCTGGCCTATAACCCAGTTCTGTATGCATAAATAAACCTTTAAAAAAGAAAATGAGGTAAACAGAAGGATGGAGGAACCAAAAGGATTATTACTAAAGCTTCTCACTTTCTGTGTACTTTCTCTGTTCCTTTATGTGCAAGCTCTTCCCTAATGCTATTTCTGAGGCAGAAACAATTTTTGACAATTTCACCTCAGTAAGCTGGCGGAAGGAGAATTTGGAGAGGGGAAAAGAAAATCTGTAAAATAGATACGGTCATATCACAAAGACCTAAAATGATGCACTGTTGGAAGCCAAGAAGAAATTACACATAAATCTCACCTGGTTAGAGAGACCCAGGATGCTACCCAGCCTCACTTATTACTGGTGTTAATAATTATTATGACAATAGTCCATGATGACATAGGACTTGTAAATGTTACAGGGCACACCACTGTGAACCGGACAGCCTTTTTGTGGGGCTTCACCCACGAGCTTAAAATCCAGTTATATTGCAGGCATACACAAAAGGGTCAATATTTACAAGAGGGGAAAAGAAAAGGAAACAACCAGGGAAAGAGAGCGGGATACAAAGTAACTGGAATATCTTACCAGCTGGGCTGATTTGGAGCTCTGGTAACAACCTAACTGAAAGTCCGGAGTCTCGCTATCTGGAGAGCCGTTTCCCCAGAGAGAGAGTAAGAGATGACATGGCGCCTTACTTATCCCTCAATGTCCCAGAATGCCTGCTTAGCTCCGCTCTTTGGTCCTCGCAGTTCTCTCCCTGGGGCTGCTGGGAGTTGTAGTTTCCAATCACTAGAGTAGGGGGTAGAGTCCAGAAAGCTGGAGTAGGGGTGGAGTCCACAAGACTCTGCAGAGTTCCTTCAGGACATCCTTGACCTTAACATAAGGGCTAGACAGCCAGGATTTGCATTCTGATTCAGGAAGATGACCACTGAGAACACAATATCAGATCATCTGATAAGTGTCTAAAACTGACTTATCACAGACATAGAGTGAGAAATGAGATGGAACTTGGAAGAAATTCAATAGGATGGGGCAATGAAGAGCTGGTACATTATGCAGTAGGGGAACAAAGGTGCAGATTCCAAGAACCTCCTGATCACACTGTAATAATTGTCATTTACGTCAATTTAGGTAAATGGAACCTCCAGGAAATTGTTTTCCAAAGTATCCTCTTTCTTATTTCAGTGCATAACTGAGTACTTTGCAAAACAAAAGAGAAAACATTCACTTCTTCCCCCCACTAATTGGGTCATATTGGTAAGCAGACCTGTGGCAGTGGATCCATGCATAGAATGAATGGAAAATTAAAGCATTATCTGCTATAAAACACCCTAGGCAAGTCTTTTAATACTTTCAGACCTCAAACAAAGGTCCTTGAGGCCCCATTTCGTTTTAAATTTTTCTCATTATAAAATTTAAAGGCACTGAACTCAGATGTACCTCCCATTTAAAGGAATTATTGAAATGTTTCAGCTAAGGGCCTTTTTAAGTTACCTGAATAATGTCATCATTTAATACCTCAGACTATGTTGTGCTTGAAATTAAAAACACAATAAAATCAAAATGATATTTTTTCATTTTTCTTCAACTACTACTTATTCTTCCATTTTCCCCTTTCAAATATTACCTATTTGTCTACCCTTTATCTTACCTCATCCTGGGGCTCCAGGTACAGATATGTGACATTTTGAATATGTTCTCCATCTCCCCATCTATTAAGGGTATTTCATCTTTCCTCACCCTTTTTTCTTTGTGTTTCATATTGAGCTCTCCTCCTGGTCAAAATTCTTGTTATCTTCTCATTTTTAACTCCCTGGTTGAATAATTGAATTCTCAATCTCACTGTCCTAATTTTTGTTTGTTTGTTCTAGAATATTATTCTAGCTCTACTGATGGCTTCAAATTTTCTGTGAAAGAGTCCATTTCTTCTTTCCTTTGCCTTTTCTCTTGGGTGTGTTAGTCATACCATTTTTTTTCTTTTTCTTTTTTTTTTTAAAGATTTGTTTATGTATGCATACAGAACTGGGGTACAGACCAGAGGTGCAGGGGCTGTGAGAGGATTCGCCAGAGACAGAGTGGGGAGCAGAACAGGCTGACTGATGAAGTACACTGCTGAGGGGAGCAGCGGGCGGGTCAGGAGAGGTCTGCTGTGCCATGTGGTCACCTCTGTGGCAGGGATCAAACTCATGCTGAAGTGGCTTTAGCCTCTTGGTGCTGTGCTTTAATCTACTGCCCTACCAGGGAGGCCCATTCATACCCTTGTCTGCTAACTGAATCGGCTGTGCTAATAAATTAGCAGTGTAGAATCAGCTGCTGCCCTTGTTATGGGGAATCCTGATGTTAAGTGATGTTGCTGGTTGGAGTCCTAGGAGACTCAGGTCCCCCCATTTATCCATATCCCTTCAACTTGTGCTTTGTAGCTTTTGAATGAGGAGTTTGAGAACATTTTTTGTCTGTTTCTGAACATTTTTGTTTATGTAGATTATAGTTTGATAACAAGAATTTAGTATACACCGAACCAGAAAGAGTGAAGTAGATCCATAAACCACAAGCTCAGTGTAAAATGAAGTAGAACTCAAGGGTTGAGCCCTCATTTGACATTAACAGTAGTGGCTCAGATTCACCTGAACTCAAGAATAGATGCATATAAAAGAAATCTCATGAAGGGTGATTAAAATATGATTCAACAGCAAGCAACTACTTGATAGCTTTCCTTGTGTTCTTTTCCCATCAACATGACTTGAAGAAGTCAAACAGAAGCTGATTGATTTTGAAAGACACAATATGTATGTACAATATCTATTGAAAAATAATACAGAAATATCTTATGAATATTATGTATTATTTGACAACTATTTCCTGCATAAAGTCTTTAATAAATGGAAAGATTTAAGAGACTTAAGAAATATCTCAGAAAGGACTGAATCACCATGAGAGAGAGAGAGTGTCTGTGTATGTGTGTGTGCATATGGGTGACTGAAGAGAACAGAGACATCACACAACAGACCTTTCTCAGTGATACGCTAATCTTGAAATATAAATACATCAGTATATGGCTTTGAATTGTCTTCAACACACATCTTCTATTGACCATGAAAGAACAAATTATTCTTAAATTAATGCAGAAAAAAAGTGATGGTACATGATATTAATTGGACTTTTTATATTCATGTTATTTCCCCTATAAAATCAAGCAGCTGTGCAATTTGCTATCACTTTTTAGTCACGGTGGTTCTAAATAATGAAAGTTTACTCATTACAAAATGCCAATTAGTGATTTTGGTACATTTTTATAATAAAGTTTTTTTTTTCTAGGAAAGCAAACATCAAATTTGATTTTATCATACTTTCTTAACACTTACTTCTTTAAAAAATAATTGATTTTAAAGTGATAACTGTAACATTCTAAATCAAGTTTTATTGGAACTGCTAGTTACAAAATTCTATCTTAATTAGATAACATTGAAGTCTTACTCTCCCTTCTCATTTCACCTAATTAAAATCTAAGTAATGGATTTTAAATGAGCCTAATTAGTTGCAAAACCTCTACTGTTCTTACAAAGCCCTTATTTTAATTTAGCTAGCGAATACATGTTTAATCATTTTTCAATTATCTGTGAGTTTTACTTCTGACTTTTTGAAATTTGAGTCCAACCCTCTAGATTTTCAAATAATTTAGGGATTCCGTGAAGACCCAGTGAGACTCAGAAGGCAAATATATCTTGTAAGGTGGGCTATATTTTATTTTCTCTTTACAATATACACAGGCCTTTCCTACCCAGCAGATTAGATTTTATCCAGGAAATAGTTGTGAAATAATATGTAATATTCATAAGATATTTCTGTATTATTTTTTCAATAGTCAAAGGCTAGGAGAAACTGAATAAGCCTTTCAGCCTGATTCATCAAGAAATCCAGTCTCCCGAGTTCACATTAAATGGCATCTACTGCATGACTTCCACCCACTGGGGAAGTTTTAGATTTACAGGAATCAATTATTTTTCTAGAAAAAATATTTTGGCCTCTCCCCGGTAGTACAATGGGTTAAAGCACAACATTGTGAAGCTCTCCAAAGCCACTGCATCAGGAATTCAATCCCTGACCAGGGAGCTGACCCATATGGTGCAGCAGACCTCTCCTGACCCACCCACTGCTCCCCTCAGCCGTGTATTTTGGTAGATCTGTCTGTTCTGCTCCCCATTCTGTCTCTCATGAATCCCCTCACCCACTACACCTTTGGCCTGTATCCCAATTCTGTGGGCATAAATAAATAAATATTTTAAAATATATATCAAAGACTACATATTCTCACTCCTCCAATTAAATTGGTCAAAATAAGCAAAAAAAAAAAGTTAATTTACATTATAATTTCTTAATAGTTGAATTATATTTATAACCAAATATTTACTTTCCAACTGTCTTTGATTTCCAAATAAAATAATTTCTACAATATTTTATTTGCTTTTTAGCATGAGATGAAGCATGAGAAAGAAATGAGAAGTTCAACCTTCCCCAGAAAAGAAAAATTAAGTTCTTTTAACACATATTTAAAGTATAATTTAAAACAAAACTCATCCCCTGGCACTGTCATAAAAGCAAAAACCTAGTCTAATCATTTACATGTATGTTCCTGTCATTTTTTTTCCATTGCTGAAAGTTAATGATAAAATGCTACAAGAATTTTAGTGTTTCAGCATTATGGAACTATTGGCTCAGAGGGGCTCTACTGAAGCAGGTAAGATTTCCAGAGGAACTTCTATGTCCATGGAAATTAGGCACAGAAAAATTAGGGGGAAATAAAAAGACTTGTAAGACATCATTTCTGTCCATGAAAATAATGCCATCTATTTGTTAAGATGTGACTTGTACAACGATATATCAGAATCTAGGGGAAGATGTTTAAGATATAAGATGTAAAGGTAGGTCTTAGCATGATTTTTTGTTTTAACTTTAATTTATTGTGTGAGAGAACTGGGGTGTAGGCTAGGGGTGAGAGGTCCCCTGAGTGGGGTGGGGGGGGGTGAGAGGATTCACCAGCAACAGAGTGGGAACAGAGCAAGCAGATCTTCTGAAACACACTGCTGAGGGGAGCAGCAGGGAGACAGAAGAGGTCTGCTGGGCCCTGTGTGTCACTCCCTGGCCAGGGTTGAACTCAGTGATGGCTGAGTTAACACCTAGGCCCCCAAGAGGCCCATGGCATGACTCTTGACTCTAAAATCCTCTGCTTTCAGGCATCTTCATGAAACAAGATGATACACAGTTTATGAGTTACTTCTCTTATCACGAAACACAAACTCACTGTTAAAAATGCAGGGTGGCAAAGCTAAATAAAGAAGAAATAGAACAGCTAAACAGACCAATTTCAAGCAAGGAAATAGAAGAAGTAATCAAAACCCTCCCCAAAAAGAAAAGTCCAGGACCAGATGGATTTAAAAATGAATTTTACCAAACTTTCAGA